AGTCACTTGGTATCAGGGAAATAGAAATTAAAACCACAATGAGATACCACCTCACACCGGTCAGAATGGTGAAAATAACAAGTCAGGAAAACACAGGTGTTGATGAGGATGCAAAGAAAGGAGAACCCTCCTACTCTGTTGGTGAGAATGCAAGCTGCTGCAGCTGCTCTGGAAAACAGTATGGAGGTTCCTCAAAAAGTTGAAAATAGAGCTATTGCACAACCCAACAACTGCACGAGTAGGGATTTTCCAAAGATACAAATGTAGTGATCCTGAGGGGCACCTGCACCACAGTGTTTATAGCAGCAATGTCCACAATAGCCAAACTATGGAAAGAGCCCAGATGTCCAACAACAGATGGATAAAGAAGATGTGGTGTGGTGTGGTGTGTGTGTGTGTGTGTGTGTGTGTGTGTGTGTACATACACATCACACAATGGAATACCACACAGCCATTAAAAAATTAAATTTTGCCATTTGCAAGGACGTGGATAGAACTATTGTATATTATTATGCTAAGTGAAATAAGTCAATCAGGGCAAAACAATTGTTATATGTCCTCAATTACATGTGAATTTAAGAATTTAGGGAATAAAACTAGAATATCATAGGGTTAGAGTGGGAAAAATAAAGACTAAGAGAGGGAGACAAATCATAAGAGATTCTTTATTTTTTTTTTAAGATTTTATTTATTTATTTATTTATTTGTCAGAGAAGGGGAGAGAGAAAGAGAGAAAGCGAGCACATAAGCAGGCAGAGTGGCAGGTAGAGGTGGAGAGAGAAGCAGGTTCCCTGCTCAGCAGGGAGCCCGATGTGGGACTCGATCCCAGGACCCTGAGATCATGACCTGAGCCGAAGGCAGAGGCTTAACCAACTGAGCCACCCAGGTGCCCCAAGAGATTCTTAGGATCATAGGAAATGACTTGAGGGTTGCTGGAGGGGAGAGGGGTGGGGTGATGGGATATCTGGATGCTGGACATTAAGGAGGGCCTGTGATGTAATGAGCACTGGGTGTTATATAAGATTGATGAATCAATGACCTCTACCTCAGAAACCAATAACACATTATATGTTAATTAATTGAATTTAAATTTAAAAAAATTAAAAGGATGTAAAGTAAATTGGATCCTACTTTGAGGATCTTGTTTGTGGTGGTTCTGTTTTATAATATTGAATATTGCTGTTGAGAAATCTGGGATAAGCCTGAATTATTTTGCTCTTTATAAGTGATTTGATCTTTTTGCCTAGCTGTCCATACGATTCTTTATTTTGGAAGACTGATAATTTTATAATGACTGAGTTGGTGTTGGGGTTTGGGTCAGTCTACTCTGATATATAACATGCTCTTTCTGCTTGTATGTGTCTTTATTTTAGTGTATGTTTGTGTCTTTTAGTGTGGTTTTCTGATTCATATTCATATTTTAAAATATTGATCCCATACTATTGTTTTGTCTTTTTGTGGGAGGGGAGAATGTTGTCCAGTATGCATTCGTTTGATGTCCCTTGTCTGGCATATCTATCATTTTCTTTCTAATCCTTTTAGCACTTAAATTTTCTTTATTTGCTTTTGTCATTATCAGCCTTTGTGTCCTTCATTTTATTTTCCAATGCCTGTTCACCATTGTTCTCCTTTCTGTCTTTATCGCTCTGATTTCTCTACTTTTCCCTCAATTTTGCCACTCCTTTTTAAGATCTCTTTTGTCTTGCCATCTCGTGTTGCTTTGTGGTTTTCCAAATAGACAGTTACTTCATTAAGTTTTTAAAAATTTGTAGCAAAAATTTTGGATACTATTTTCATCTGCAACTGCTCCATGGTGTTTTTGTCAGAATTTTACATTTTCCTCCTTTTATCTTATTTTTGTTTAGATGTAAGTTTCAATCATAGTGAAGAGCAAGTTGGATTTTCTTGGGTTAACTCTTTCGTACAAGGCTCATTTTAGGAAGGATTGCCAGGATAATCTTATATCCTACTAACTGGTTTATACACCTCTTTGCTGGGCAGAAGGCTTTCTGTAAATGTGACTTTTGTGTCTGATTTTTATATGTAGCATTGCCTAATCTCAGTACGAAATGAAGTCTGGGGGACTTGTGGGATCCTTCTTTCCCCAGCTTCTGTACCTGTTTTTATAAACAAAGTATGTAGCTTTGCACTTCAGGGTGTGTCTTTCACCTTTAGAATGCAAATTTTTGCTGAGACTTTCTAAGATCTGTTACTGTTGCGTCCATTTGACTTCTCTGATCTGCTTCCAACTACATGTCTTCTGTCTGAGCTTGGCTGCTTTGGGTAGTGCTGTCATATGTTGTAGAGTCTGTGGATTTTATCTGGCTCTTAGTTTCAATGAAAATAAATTTTTAGAATTTGGTTGTTGTGGCTTTGGATGAGTCCCAGCAGGAGAAGGGGAAAATGTTGACTTATGTAGGCTGATCATATGGGAACTTCTTTTTTACTATTTAAAAATAACATCCCACTTTCTTTGTTCTGAAAACCTAACCTAAATTTTAGACACAAACAAAGCAATAGAACATGGTATCTCTGCTGGGAGGGGTGAAGATGAGAATGTTATTTAGGTGGTATCTGCTGTTTGTCAAATTACAATATATGGCTTTAAAGTATTAATATTCTGTCCCCAGGAAAATAAGGGATAATCCAGGGCTACAGTGAAGGGCTAGACCCAAAAGGGTTTTAAGACTGAAAAAAAGATACTTTCTTTGGGGTTCTTTGCTTTTCTCTCAATTACTGAATTTCCTGAACTTGGTTGTCCATTCTTGGTTTTCAGTGGTTTATTGCTCATCTCTCTTACAGGGGTCCAAAACATTGCTTAAAAGATACTGTGAATAAAAGTAACGTAGCATTGTGTGTCAACTGTCCAAAAAAAAAAAATGTTAAGATTTGTATGTTTATTTTTAAAACATGTTCTCATCTCTTTTATTTAAAAAAAAAACAAAAATGAAAAAACAGCTAGCAATTGATCATCTGTTATGTATATTATAATTTATGAGCATTTAAGGTAACTTTAACTTTTATAGATGTACCAAATTAGATGTTTCTGAAAAATATAACCTTGTAGCACACTCTACTATAGACTACTTAGGTTATTTTGTAGATTTCAGAAAAGAATCAAGTCTCAAATATGACTCAATAACTTCTACAGTGTGAAAACCAGATTTAATGTTTGAATATATATGATTGTCCACATTTCTAATTAGGGACAGTATTCTATATTAAATGATTTTTGTGCATTATAATGTTTCTCATTGTTGTTTGAGATCACTTGTGTGGTAAAATTGCACATACCGTCAGGGATTTTTTTCTATCAAAATGAAACTACGGGTATACATCATTTGTAGTAAGACATGAATTTTGAGTTATATTTCTGATAGTGCTGATGGATTTACTCTGAACCATCCTTTTCTCCACTTATCCTTAAATTCAAAACCAGCATGTTCTAGAAGGAACTTTGCCTTATAATAGTCCTTAAAAATAGTCGGACTTTCCTAAGGTTGAACTCTTAAATATTACATGTGTCCCAAGAAGTATCTAGAAACTTCTCATTTCCCTCTTCTCGTTGTGGTATCATTTCAACTGTATATATTGAGAGATTGGCCTCAGAGGATCATGTAGTATTAGGAACCTAATGTATTTATCCTTATTTAGCTTATAGATGCAACCTTAACTCCCAAACGCAGATTATGTCACTATTTGTGGGCTCATTTTTTTCAGATTTTTTCCCCTTTTAGATCTATTTTCTATTTTTTTCTTGGTGTTTTTTCCCCTAAAGGTTTCAGAATTGACAAGTGAACAAAATAAATGCAAGTGAAATGTTAATAGGTCTATCTTGGATCAAAGACCCAGCTTCCCATGTGATATAGACCATTTTACCAATCATCTAACATTTCGGTGTGGCAGGAGAGGAAATGGATGTTATCTTAGAAATTGAGGGGGACAAACTGTATGAGACTCTTGACTCTGGGAAATGAACTGAAGGTTGGGGAAAGGGAGGTCGGTGGGGGGGGTGGGGTAACTGGGTGATGGAAATTAAAGAGGGCGCGTGATATTATGAGCACTGGGTGTTATATTCAACTAATGAATCATTGAACATTGTATCAAAAAGTAATGATGTCCTATATCTTGGCTAATTGGGTTTTAAAAAAAAAGGAATAGAATTCTGTTAGAGTTTCAAACTTTTTAATGTTGTTGTTAATTTACTAAATAACACATTTAGGAAGAGTTTAAGTCAGCTGATGTATGTTATAAAAGAATTACCTGGGTGGCTTGTTGAAAAATAAAGGTTTCTGGGCCCTGTATCTAGATAATGTTGTAGTTTATGAGTTTATGAGTAGGAAAGTATTCCACATTAGAACCAGTTTATGTGACATCTTGATTTTATTCATGAGGAATTAAATTTCCCCTTCAAATATTTAAGGATCTAGATTTCAAGGTGTAACTATAGAATTTTTCAAGATGTAACTAATTTTTAAAGAATTGTTAAAGATCTTTTTTCTCCTCACACATTTTCTAGCACGTTGCATTTGGGCAATGGTAAATTAGTTGTGTTCCGTTTTTAGTTCTAACTAGATATGAAATTTCATGTATCACTTGATAGTTAAACATACACATTATGGCATGTAAAACTACATTTCCTTTCAATGCTCTATCTAGACATGGATATGAAATGAATGAGTTTAATTTAGTTAAACATAAAAGATAAATTGCAAGGGAAAAAACTATTAGATCAATAGCCAAGTCCTAGTTTTAGAGTTACTCTTTTAAAAAATTTTGTTTTTTTATAAAAAGTTTTGATTTTTAAGATAATAGGAAGATAATTGGTGTTTATTGTTATTTAGAGTGTGAGTATATACCACATACTTGTAAATTAATATTTTTCCTGACATATTACCAAGCATAGTTTTACATGATCTGACTTAAGTTGTAAACAGAATTGTTTTTTGGTAATCTAATTTTTTAAGGGATAAATAAAACAACTTTTTTTTCTCTTTCAGTACTGTTGTCCAGACATGATAAATAACTTTTTAGGACTGGCTAAAACAGAATTTTCAAGTACAGCAAATAAAAACAAGACTGTTGATTCAGAGAAAGGAAAATTGATCATGTTAGTTAATGACTTTTATTATGGAAAACATGAAGGAGATGCCCAGGAAGAACAGAAGACTCACACAACTTTTAAATGCTTCAGTTGCTTGAAAATTCTTAAAAATAATATTAGGTATGTAAATACTTACTTTCATTTCTCTTTGAAAATTGGAATGCCATAGATATAAATGTTTTATCTTTATCTTACATTTTTCTGTGTCATTCTAGATAAACAATTTTAATTCTTTCTACTAAGGACAAAGGCAGATTGTCCTCTTGAAAAGCTTTTGTTCTTTCTTGTAATTTAGAGTTGATGCCTGGACTTACTTAGTTGTATTTGTTTAAGATAACTTAAGAAAGGACAAACTTCATTTCAAATAAGGGGAAATTAACTTTTCCTCTATATTATCACTGTTTTAGGAATTTTCATGAGATTATTTCATTTTTCGCTGCGTTTGAATTTTATTTCTCTTCACAAGAAGAACCACTTTAGTATTTCCAGTTTTACCTCCTCCATACTAATCTTATTTAATGCTCAAGTCTTTTAATTCAGATTTGTAATTTTTAGAACATTTCCCTTGCAGGAAAAGTGATCTTCTTTAGAGAAGTACCAGTTCTAGAAACAGGTCTGCTTTGATTTTAAAATTTAACCCCATTAAAAATTAGAAATTTAATTTCCAGTGGAATTTTGAATTTTATACATGTATGCTTTAAATTTTAGGAACTTTACTTTGTGATCTTTGAGTTATATGGCATATTAGTAACTGTTATCCTATAAGTGAGTGTGCAACAAGAACAAGGTAACAAGACATACTGATTGATATTTTTCAGTAGTTATATAGCTTGACATTTATATTAGGTAAGATTGTTTTTATATCATTTTATAATAAAAATGTTCAGACATGCAGCAAAGTTTAAAAAATTTTACAGCAGATAACTTGTATGCTTATCACCTAGATTCTGCCATTACCATTTTACTATCCTTGCTTTATCATATATCTGTTCATTCTTCCTTTAAGCTAGTTTTTTCTTATGCCTTTCAAAGTAAGTTGCAGACACCATTATACTGCCCTTAGATGAGTGTGTATGTTTGTGGAAACATACATATGCATGCCTTTTTATGTTTGTCTTTGTTAACTTTGTAAATAGCATTCTTAGGTACCTGTAGGGTACTTCTGGATGCAGTATTTATTTCATTTTCTTGTGAGTTATTGGGTCCAAAAAGAAGCATATAGAAAAACCCTGAAATACATTGTGATATACTCCTATAACAATTATTAAAGCTTTGTTCATGGTAGTGCTTTATAGTTTCCAAATTGTTTCACATGTTATTTCATATGAGCCCTCATATTTCTTTATCTCCTTTAAACTTTAACAGCCATCCATAGTTAAATAATTTAACAGAAGGGATATTGTACTTTGTGATTTAACACTGAAATAATATTACAGTGGAACTCTATGTCACCTTTTTCCATATTCATAGTAAAATACACCAGAAAAATCATGTTAGTAAATACGGTGATAGCATAGAAATATGTTTCACTGACTTAGTTCCTTGTTATATTTAAATATGTATATATTAGAAGTTATTTCAGCAATAGCTTTTGGCTTTTCCTTTGAGACTAGCCCACTTAATATTAAACATGAAAATTAAATTCCCTTTTTGTTATTATTTTAGAAGAGTAGTTATATATTTCTAGAGTACCTGAATATTTCAAATTTAAAGCAAACAGCATTTATAACATCTTGGAATTGAGCATTTTTGAAATACTGATTGTTTAGGAAACAATCTTAATGGTAAATTAATGGTAAATGGTAAATACTTTGTAACCAAAGAAGTTATATATGTTAAACAGTAAAAACTGGAAAGACAAATTGGTGTTTGTATAGAATGGTAGAAAACTGATAGCTATAGATTTTTACTCTCTGCCTTGTCAGCATATTGTGGTATGATATTTTTTTTCCTCCTACATTGAATATCACCAAAAACAGTTAGGTTGATTTTATTCTGTGAACATCATTTTAAGAAGTTTGCTTTTATGTTTCCTTCATTTCCATCTGTTGGTTTAAGTAGCTTACGTTCCCAATGTGGGCCCATATAATTGTGAGAAAGCTTGCTAGTTAAGAGATTATTTTATATAGATACACTTTAATTGCTTAAAGTTGTGAGCTGAAAGTTTAATGGCTCGTGACCTTTTTTCTCTATATAAATATTTAGCCAATACAAAGATTTTCTGTAGGTGTTTGTAGAACTGGTGTTAAAACCAAGGGAGGACAAAAAGATATTTCAAAGTGTGCCATAACCTGTTCAAGAAAAGTACTACTGTGGAGGTGTGAAAGATAGATAAACGTTATAGCCTTCATGGTGACTGCTATCCAGATTGATGACATTATCACTTACTTTCAAGATTCTTTCCTTTCTGGGCTAAAGTGAATAATTGTTAATAGTTGACCCAGACTAAAAATTGTTACAACTTTACTTTCAAATTCAGCAAAAAGCTTCAGTAAGCTCGTTTAAATAGGTATTCCCATTTATATTGCACTCTTTGCTGTTGAAGGTCATAGTTCCTGCTCATAAGAAGCCTTTTAAGGAAGCTGAAATAGCAGAATGTAAAACTGAAAAATGGACATTGCCTACAAAGGGCACAGTCTGCAAGTTAAAATGAACAGTCTGTGCTAACAGTAAACCAGTATCATTAAATAAAACAAAAGGTTCTTGTAATTGTAGGCATTAAAATTGCTATTACAGGCATTTAGAAACCAAGACACAAGTAAAAATACCAGTAATTTGTCTTTTAAACAGCTGGAATCTATTGTATATCTTCATGGCCCTAAAAGATTTCTCTTATGATTGTAGCTGCTTTTGGTGGTAGGGTTTCCTTCCTTTGAAGTATTTTATTTAAAAATGTAAATAGTATTCATGTATGGAAAAATACCCTGTTTTTTTTTATCTTTAAAAAACATTTTAATAATCTGAAATGATTAAGAATTTGAACAAATTAGTGATATTTCAGATTAATTACATTGATGAATTCTTTTAAAGCAAAGATGTTTATATTTAGCCACTTAATTGAAAGTGATTATTTAAAACACATGGTTTTCTAGAGGATTTTAAGGCTTTTGAGATTTTATTTTGAATAATATCTATAGTTTTAAGATTTAGACTCAGATACTTATTTGTTAGATTTTTGTTTTTAAATCTGAACTTTTGCACCTGTTGGCAATCATTTATAGGTTTATGAACCACATGAAGCACCATTTGGAACTTGAGAAGCAGAGCAGTGAGAGCTGGGAAAACCACACCACCTGCCAGCACTGCTATCGTCAGTTTCCCACACCATTTCAACTGCAGTGTCACATTGAAAGCACACATACACCCCATGAATTTTCTAGTAAGTTACACTTCTACTTAAGTATTGCATATTATCAGTTTTGATAATGTAAACTCTGAGAAAGAATCTTGTTAGAGACATAAGACTAAGAAAAAGACTTTGGAATTTTGGGGGACAAAATTAGAAAAGTTTTAACTTATCTAAATTTTTAAAACAAGTCATTAAAATTAAAGTCCCTCTTATAAATAATTCATTAAAGTAAATAACCTGTGCATTATAGGGGGGAACTAAATTAAAAACTTCAGATCATTATTTTCAAATAGGAAATTAATGCCCTTCTTTTAAACTTGAGTAAGGAAAGTAACTACAGTCATAGTTAAAAATCGCATATTTTGGAGCTAGATAGCTTGAGTTCAAATCCCAGGTCTGCCTCTTAATACAGCTATGTGATCTCAGGCAAGTTACTTAATATTTGAATAGTGGGGATAATAGAAATATCTGCTTCATAATGCTGTTATGGGAATTAAATAAGCTAATGTAAGTAAAGTTCTTAGAACTGTGTTAGGCATACAGTTAAAAACTGTGTAACTGTTGTTTATCACCACCAATACTATTGTTATTTTTGTTGATATAGATATATAAAATGAATATATATATATATATATATATATATATATATATATCTGTTTTGTTTGCCTGGTGAAGATACTTTTTTTTTATTGAGGTGTAAGTGACATATAGTTTCAGTTATATAAAATACTTTGATATTTGTGTGTGTGTGTGTGTGTGTATGTCTGTATCTGTATCTTAAAATGGTATAATGTCTTTCTCCTCCCCACTTTTAGCCATTTGCAAAATCTGTGAATTATCATTTGAAACGGAGCATATTCTTTTACAACATATGAAGGACAATCATAAGCCTGGGGAAATGCCATATATTTGCCAGGTATACACATATTTTATTGTTTACTTAGTGTTTGTTTGTTTCTCTTGTCTTGATTTTCGGATTTAAACCTACTGGGACCCAGAGGCCAGCAAATTTTTTCTGTAAAGCACCAGATTTAAAGCTCCTCAGGCTTTGAGGGTCATATAGTCTGTGTTGCAACAATCAGCTGTAACATTGTAGCACAAAGGCTGCCATAGACAACAAGTAAATAGATGTGATCCAGCTCTGTGTTTATTTATTTAAACTCTATCTATGCACTAATGATATACTGTATGGTGTCTAACAAAACACAATAAGAATTAAAATATCTATGGACATTGGAATCTGAATTTCACATAATTTTCAAGAGCCATGAAATATATTCTTTTATTTTCCTAACCATTTAGATAAAATTGGTTACTAAAATTAAAATTCCTCTTGTAAACTATTTATTAATTAAAAAAAAAAAACAACCTTTGGCATAACTCATGTATTATCTGTGGGATCAGCAGAGAGTTGAAATTGGCCCATAGGCCATTTTATACTTACTCGTGATTGGACAAAGAAAAGCCCTGTGGCAGTAAGACAAGCATAGGGACTTATTTTACCATATAGGGGAGAATGTAGGCATACAAGGGAAGTACGAAATGCTTTTCGTTACAGAGAACCCTACCAGTTGCTGTGGGATTAGCATTTTTTTGGAATTTGAAGAAGAAATAGAAAAAGAAGATAAAAATACATTGCAATGCCATAGCTTGGAGGCCGCTTGTAATCTAAAGGAGGGTGCTTTTATGACGAAAGAAAGAAAACTTTACAGAACAAGAGGTGTTAAAGCATGAAAATTCAAGTTAAGATGGGGGTGGTAAATAGAAAGATCTGATAAAAAGAAGGGAGCCTAGTTATGTTTTGGGAAGTATCCCTAAACTTTGACAGATAACTTTTCTGTCTCAAAGATTATCTTTTGGTGCTTACATTAATGAGATTCTTGGTTATGTAGGTATCAGAGAAATAGTTGATGTTCTTCTAAACAAATGACGTTATCATTGTTACTTTGTAATTGCATATCATACATTTTCAAGTTAAACTAAACTTTCTTTATTTGTAGGTTTGCAATTACAGATCATCATCATTTTCTGATGTAGAAACTCATTTTAGAACATCCCACGAAAACACTAAGAACTTGCTATGTCCATTTTGCCTCAAAGTTATTAAAATTGCAACACCCTACATGCATCATTATATGAAGCATCAGGTGAGATTTACCAGTTCTTATTTGTTCATGTTGTTTTAGCAAAATGATTATTACTTAGGACATTAGTTAGATTTGTTCTGCAAAGGAAGCAAGATTTTCCAAATGACATAATTAATTTGGAATTTATGCTGAATTACTTATAAAACTTCCACTTCTTTTACTTGCTTCCTTTCTGGTGATGTTGTGGCTCACAAGTGAAAATTTTGAAAGATAGCTAGAAACTGGAAACCGAGGATTGAAGGGGAAAAGGGCAGATGAGTGGAATACCCATAAAATTGGATATTTCAGGGTCCAAGAGTGGGCATGGGAATGGTTTTAAAGGTAGTTATCAGGGTAAATGTGAGCTTGAACTAATAAGAAAAGATTGAGGACTCATAATCTTATTTTCCTTCCAACCTAATTTCCATTTATTATCTCCTTTATGATGAGAATAAATGTTGTTATCTTTGACCAGACGTGGTCTTTTATAGCTACCAGTAATAAAGGAAACAGTAATGACACTTACTGCTTGGTATATGAACTCTGCCAAAGAACTGTATTTAGGTCATCACCTGTCTTGTGGATGAATTCTGCTAGTTTTGCTATATACATTTTTGCACTTACATTATATTATATTATTATATTATACTGTACCAGTATTAGCACTTAACACCCTTCTCTTGAATTCTGATGTTATGTTTACTGTTCTTTTCCTGGAGCAATTAAACCATCCTTTGTTTGGGCTGAAAACTTTTATGTACCACTGATCCTATTCTTAAGTGTGCTTGAAAGAGCAACAACAGTGTTTTGTTTTGTTTTTTAAAGATTTTATTTATTTTTTCAGAGAGAGAGAGAAAGAGCACAAGTAGGCAGAGTGGCAGGCAGAGGGAGAGGGAGAAGCAGGCTCTCTGATGAGCAGGGAGCCCCATGTGGGGTTCAATCCCAGGAACCTGGGGTCATGACCTAAGCCGAAGGCAGCCGCTTAACCAACTGAGCCACCCAGGCGCCCCTCAACAACAGTGTCTTTGCCAAAATCAGAAGTCACTGGATTTACTGAATCTGATCATGTAATCAAGTTTTGCCTCCTCCCTAATCAGCTCATTGCATTTTTTTATTATTGATGAAATTGGCATTCTGATTGGTGCTCACTTTGCTTTCAGTTCTAATCATTCGATTATCATGAAATCAGGTTGTGGTTTTTAACTTGGAAAGATCATAAAAGTAGAATTTCCAAGTGAAATTTTTTTTACATTTTTATTTAAATTCCAGTTAGTTAACATAAAGTGTGATACTAGTTTTCAGTGTAGAATTTTGTGACTCAACACTTACATAAAATACCCAGTGTTCATTACAAGTGCTCTCCTTTATCACCATTGCTATCTAACCCATCCTCCTGGGCACCTCCCCTCCTGTAACCATCAGTTTGTTCTCTGCAGTTAGGGGTCTGATTCTTGGTTTGCCTCTCTTTCCCCCCACCCCCTCTATGTTTGCTTGTTTTGTTTCTTAAATTCTACATATGAGTGAATCATATAGTAATTGTCTTTCTCTGACTTATTTCAGTTAGCATAATACTCTATAGTTCTATCTGTGTCACTACAAATGGCAGGATTTCATTCTTTTTTATAACTAATATCCCATTGTGGGTGTGTAAAATGTATATGTATAAAATATATTATCCAAGTGAATTTTTTAATACAATTTTATCCTCTTTATCCAAGTGAATTTAGTATCTCCTATGTTGTGATGAGATGTTGGGATGATACTCATCTTTGAGAAGTTCTGGCAAAATCTTTCTATTCTAGGTTTCCCCAACAGTGTTCCATCAGGTGTTAATAGATGTTTCCCCCCAAACGGTTACTAGAAAAGAAAGAAATTTGGTAAATACTTACAATATCAAACAGTTTTGCTTGTCTGTTTTTTAAAACAGGACTTCTCAGAGCTTTTAATATGCTAATGAACATTGTAAATCTCCAAGCAACAGGTATAGTGCTTATTAGTTCCCTGAGCCCTTTATTTGCATAATATGTATTAACATTTTTTGAGGAATAGAGTTCTGGAAACCCTATTCTTGGTACTCTTTATTTCATCTTTGGGCTTAAATTTGAATGGGAGAATGAGATATGAAATGGTAGTGCTGTTTCATTATGGATCTTTTATCATAATTTCCCCCACATGCTTTCCTAAGCTCCAGAGTGAGATGTAGAAATGGGAAGAATGATAATTATGAGAGAGATGTGTGGACCCACTATGTGGGCTATGTGATTTATAAGGTTTTTATACACTGAGTTTTATGTCTTGTCTTGCCATTGTTGCCAGTTTTTCTTTTTTTTATATGGAATATTTAGGAAGGTAAGCAGTTAGAGTAAAGGGAGGGGAATCTATTAATAAGGATCATCAGCATCCTTCAAGATATTTACAATTTGCATAATTATTTTTGAAGACTGGAACATCATAGCTGAGTAGGACTTTAAACTTGTAGTTGAGATTACATCATTAGTGCGGTATTAGACAATAAGAATTGTTGGTTCTATGACTCATTTTATTGTCTTCAAAAACTTTGGTTGTAACTTTCTTTTAAGAAGCTGTATTAAGGGCTCAGTGGGTTAAAGCCTCTGCCTTCAGCTCGGGTCATGATCCCAGGGTCCTGGAATCGAGCACTACGTCGGGCTCTCTGCTCGGCGGGGAGCCTGCTTCCTCCTCTCTCTCCGCCTGCCTCTCTGCCTACCTGTGATCTCTGTTTGTCAAATGAATAAATAAATAATCTTTAAAAAAAAAAAAGCTGTATTAAGTCTCAGTGATTTTAGAGTTAACAATCCTTGTATGACTTTTAAGAAAGAATAAAAGTGATTTCAGATGTGTAAGATATGTTCATTAGATCTTTAGTAAGAATGTTAAGCAGTTAACATATGAAGTTACTTACCTTATGGCAGCAGCAGGTGCTTTACAAGCATTATCATCTTCACAATCACCATATGTGTACTATTATTTCTAACTTTTAGGTGAGTCAAAATTTTAGAGAAAGCCTGCTCAGTGTCCTACTACCTAATAAAAAGCAGAATTAAAATTTGACTTCAGAGCCCAGGCTTTTACTGCTTTACCACAGACCCAGATTTCACATTGACATTAGGTCTAAGGGCAAAAATTACATATAGTCAGAATTAACTCTTAAATCCCTCGAGTCTCCCAGACAGTGTGGTATATGTATCAAAAAAGTACAAAACAGATCATTAGTCCCTAGCCTTGGAACAGATCACTGTTTCATTGACTGAACATGATGTTATTTTAAAATGTACTGTTTATTACTTTTATTGCTTTGAAATGCATTCATACACAAGAGACATGTGTAAGACTTAGGTCCAACTAAGAGAATAGAGGATTAATTAGTCTATCTCGTGACTGGACAAATGTTCATTGAATGGAATGGCAGACGTTTTGAACTAGTTAAATTGTACCTGCTTCTCATTTGTACTTTCTCTATCAGTCTCTTGCTTTCTGCCTCACAGTCCAGTTATTTAACAAATATTTATTGCGTGCCTTACTGTGTGCCAGGGGCTGTTTTGGCTATTATAGTAGCAGTAAATAGAACAAAGTTTGTGCCTTTTGGAATTTGAATTATAGTAGAGGAAGATAAATATATGTGGACTTATGTTTGAATGTATATGCTTGCTAGCTGGTAATAGTACTGTGGAAGGAAAATGTGGAGGGTAGAGAGTACCAGGGAGGTGTTGGGAGTGGAGAAACGGTTGCTTGTTTATGTATGTGGTGTGGTAAAACAGGAGCCTCTCTGAAGGAAATAAGGAATAAGCCATGTGGAAATCTAGGAAGAGAAATATTCTGTAGGCATTGAAGTAAATATATACATGGGGCACAAAGAACAGCGAAGAGACCAGTTGTGGCTAGAGCAGAGTAAACTAGTAAGAGGAAAACTAGTAGGAGATAAGCTTGTAGTGATAAAGTATAGGCCAGTTTATGCAGAGCCTTGTAAACCAGGAACAGGGCTTTAGAAAACTATCAGAGCATTTAAGTGTCTGAACAATCTGCCTTGTTTTAAGATCATTGGCACCTATGGGGAGAATAGACCACATGGAGGAAAAAACATGACAGGAAGAATATAGGAGTCCAAGTGAGTGGCTTGGACCAGTATGGCAGCAGTAGTAGGTAATGAGGAGTAGAAAGATTATGAAAGTTCCCAAAGGTAGAGCTGACAGCTTTTATTAATAGGTTGGATATGGGGTGAGCTACCAAGTGTTTGTCCGAAGCAGCTGCAAGAATGGAATTTTCATATACTGTCATAGGAGGAAAACAGAAAACAGATTTGGGGGGACAGGGAGATAGGGAGAAAATCCAGAATTCAATTTTGTACCTGTTGATATTCGTGCTTAGGTAGTGATGTCAAGTAGACAGATGGATAGATCGTATTTAAAGCCATGAAACTGGATGAGGTAACCTGGGGAGTGATTATAGATAGAGAAAAGCTTTCTGGGAATTGGATTCTGGAGAACTTTCTTTCTGTCCTGTGCCTTAGTATCTGTTTCTTAGCCGAGTTTTCTCTTTTTCTGCCTATTCCCTCAGCACATATAAGTGAATTTTTAAAAATTGCCTGTATCTATGATACAATCCAATGCACCACACTTCTAAAATAGTCTTAAGATGCAACTAGAATAGTAATATAAACCCATTATATTTATACATTGCTTTGAATTTTGTAAAGAGCTTTGATTTATGAAATGCCTGCTATATGCTAGTAACTGTGCCAGGTACTTCTCAGTATATTACCTTGTTCGAATTTTATAAATGATTGAGTGTATTTAAATGGAAGTAGTGATGTATTTGGCAGAATGTAACTTTTGAGAAAACATTCTTTTGTATTTATGTATTGTTTAAGTATGTGTATATATAAATATGTACATACATATATCATTTCTTAATGAGAGCATATGAATAAGATTGTAGATGCTATCATATAGTAGAAAGAAAACTGGGTCAGGAGTCGGCAGTGCCAGTGACTAGTTATTGGGGAATGATTTAGATTTTTCTTGAATCTTGTTTTCCAGCTATAGAATAATAGCAGGATTGAGTTTAAAGAGGGACTCACACAAGGGATCTTAATCAGTAAATAGATTAGCAGTAGTTGTTTGCAGTAGTTGTTATGTCTCCATATCAACACTGTTCAATGTTCATGTGGCTAGTGAAGTTAAAATTACTTAAAGTCAAATAAAATAAAAAAATCCGTTCCTGTGTTGCACTTAGCACATTTCAGGTGCTCAATAACCTATGTGGCTAGAGGCTACCATATTGGACAGTGTAGCTGTAGAACATTTTCATCATTGCAGAAAGTTACATTAGACAGCACTGCTTTATACAACCATTTCTCTAACAACCTTTTTTGAAATGTCTGGTTAAATATTTGAATTTATTTTACCAGGTTGTCAACCAACTGGAAATAGCAAAAATTAAAAAGAATTTACTTTTTTCCAGGATAAAAATGTAGTATAGCTCTTTTTAACCATATCATGTGTCTAAACATTTTAAAATGACAATTAGATGAGCTTTCACACCACTGTTGAGAGAACTTTCATTAGAACCTACAGATAAAATGAATCTTGGAACACTGAAAAAATAAAATTAAATTTAAAAAAAAAAAGAACCTACAGATACAACTTTTATGTTCAGTTTCCGTATAGGAATAGACATTTTTGAAACCCAAATACTAATGCAGAGTATGTAAAAAATGAAATAATATTTTGCTGTTATTTATATGTGTGATATAAAGTACTAGTTTTAAAATTATTTAGGTATCATTAAAATGAAATCAGAGCAGTTTAAGGACACAGTATTTGTGGTTGTAGAAATTATTTTTCCTCCCTTTTTCTGTTTTTAAACAGAAAAAAGGAATACATCGTTGTACAAAATGCAGACTGCAGTTTTTGACATGCAAAGAGAAAATGGATCATAAGACTCAGCATCATAGAACATTTATAAAACCTAAACAACTGGAAGGGTTGCCTCCTGGAACAAAAGTGAGTTTAAATGTGTTGTATTTTAACATTTTGTGTGATAATAGAAATTAACTCCTGCCTTCTTTTATTTATTGAATACAACACTTTAAAAAATGATGCCTGATTTTTAGTAAGCCTTTAATTTTAGGTTTTGTCATTCCTATATCTAGAAAAAATAACCTGACCATTGTTTTATGGTCAGTGGTGTGTGCTGTGCTAAAGTGATACTCCTTTGTAAAAAGTGCAACTAGATTAACTATTCCCTGGGTCAGTGGGTTGTGTCAATATTATATAGGCTGTGTTTGAGCTATTCCAGTTGGCAGTGTATATGTTGGTTTTATCTGCTAAACTATAAGATGCTTGAGATCGGGACTCATATTTTATCTTTGTGTCCTCAGCATCTGGTATAGTGCCTTGAGTGCCATAGGTTCTAAAATATTTATTGCAGTTATTACTGAGTCTACTCTAAGAGAAGCAAGTTCTGCTGCTGGATAGCATTATGTTTTTTAAGTGAGCAAACAACATGTCTGACTGCATACTGATGATTGTAATTTACTTTTCCCTTTTTGCCTTATATACCTCTGTTTTCTCTGACTTCTTTATATACAGTCAGCTCTTGAATATTTGCTCCAGTGGAGGGAAACAGAGGCATGGATAATCCAAAGTGAAATAATCCCCAAAACATTTATATTTGGCTTTGGGTACTTACCTTTGAATGTGGGTATGTCTGTTATTTGAATTAACTAAAACAATATAAAGCCATGCTCTGAAGACCTAGAGCAAGAGAAGCTATCCAGCATCCTTCCCTGCAGTCCATTCATTCCATGCTGGGACTAGACATGCAGAACACTAATGTAAGCAGTGCAGTCCTCTCTCATATTTTCCCTTATTAATAATAGTGGTAATAATATTAATAATGATACTAAATGTTTTTATAGCACCTTAGAATAAGGCTTTTGGTATGCTTTTTCATACATTCTATTATTTAATCCATACAGCAACCCAGTGAGGAAGGCAAGACAGTTATTGCCCCATATTATAGATAAAGAAGAAAAGTTACTTATTCAAGGTCACATGGCTAGGAAGGCATGGTATGAGATTTTTAAACTCAATTCTTTTGATTCCTAGTCCAGTGCTTTTGAGTGATATCAAAACACATGTATTCCATAGGACAAATACATGGGAGAGGTATAGTTTAATGATAAATGAGAATGTTGGTAGGCAATTGTTTTTTATTGCCAACCAAAAAATACAATTTCTGGATACTAAATGATAAACTTTATATTAATTCTCTTTAAGGAAATTCTAAATATTATTAAACTCTCCATCAGTATAATGAATTGATTGATGTAACCTCTCCCATAACCTATGTATAGATAAATCCTGCCTAATGAGCCCCTGGAAAGAGGAGGTCATGTTTACTCTAGATCTTTTTGTTTTATAGTTTTTGAGGGGTAATTCAGGCCTTTCTAGAATTATTTTTTGGGCTCTGAGATTTAAATTTTGATCTCTGTGAATTATTTGAGTTATATCAGAGCATTAAAAATAGCTATGGAATGTGCTCTTTTAATAGTCATATAATTTGCATTAACTCCTAATTATATATTAATAACTGTTAACATGACTGATATCAATACAAAAAATGTAATATTACAAGTGAATAAATATCAAGTTTAATTTCATTTAATTGGGATGAACATTTTAGAATAAATGAAAGACTTATCCAGTTATAGTTTATATTTGCCCTTTCCAAATACTTGATGTTTAACTTTTTGTTATACAGTGATATTTCAATACTAATGCCATGATTAATTTTCTAAAGCAAACATTGTCTCCATTTTTGTAGGTTACTATTCGAGCTTCAGTTGGACCGCTTCAGTCAGGATCTTCAACTACACCTTCCATTAGTGCAAGCACTTCTACCCTTCAGCTCTCACCTCCAAGGACTAAAAATATAACTGCTAAAAATCCCACAAAATCTAACACAAGCAAACCTAATCCAACTAAATCCAATACAAGTAAACCTAATGCAAGTAAGCCTAATGGAAGTAAATCTAAATATAAATCAAAAATCTCTAATATGCAAAAGAAACAAAGCACATTGGCTAGTAGCAATAAAAAAAGTAAAGTCAATACAGCATTGAGGAACTTAAGGTAATCTTTTATTCCTCATATATAACACTAATTTAATCTTAAGTATAAAAACTTTAATATAAATTTACCCTATTACACAACTCTCTTGTACATTTATATGCTATCACTATGACATAAAGGCCAAGCAAATAATAAAAATGTATTTTCTTACAATTATTGAACAGTACTGGAATTTTTTTTTATAATATTCATTTATTATACTGGTATTATTATGTGTTGTGCTTAGGTCTTGTGATGTTTGTATTGCTTAATTTAATTCCTTTTATGCCAGTGGAAAACACTGACATACGTTAGATTGTTTACACTTACTCTAGCTGTTGTTCCATAACAGATTTTCAAATTATGACTGTTTAAGCATGTTCATTTAAATATCTTGTCCTTAATTAACAAAATATTAATAAGGCCCTTCCTTATTATTTTTGTCTTAAAATATATTTTTATAATTTTCTTTATATCTCCATAAGGTATCGTCGGGGAGTTCACAAGTGCATTGAGTGTTGTTCCGAAATAAAAGATTTTGCAAATCACTTTCCTACGTATGTCCATTGTAGTTTTTGCAGATACAACACTAGCTGTAGCAAAGCCTATGTAAATCATATGATGAGGTAAGATGAGTTAAACATCTGTAATTACCAATTAAAATTGTAGTTCAGAAAGTTTGTTTTAAAACAGTTATCCTTTTAGGGCGCCTGGGTGGCTCAGTTGGTTGAGCCACTGCCTTCGGCTCAGGTTATGATCCCGGACTTCCGGGATCGAGTCCCGCATTGGGCTCCCTGCTCCTTGGGGAGTCTGCTTCTCCCTCTGACCTTCTCTTTCATACTGTCTCACTCATTCTCTCTCAAATAAATAAATAAAATCTTAAAAAAACAAAACAAAACAGTTATCCTTTTAGAAGCCAGTTTTTCTCTTTAAGGAACTAAATGTCTAGTTATAGTGAACTTTTTAGAATAATGCCTGGTACTATTTTTCCAGCATCATAACTCATAAAATTATTTGAACTAAAATTGCAAGAATAGTTAGACTAAGAAATTAGGATAGGTTTGTTAGGGAAATGGTTTCTCTATGGGTATTTTTTTTCTATAGAATTTTTTAAATGGTCATTTTCAAGTATAGAAAATCAAGTGTTTTAAATATATTTACTAAACAAATCCATATAATCTCATGAATATTATTCTTTTCAAAGCAGTTACTTTGAGAGACTCTAGGGTTTCTGGTGATGTTAGGAACTTTATTAGGTCTGTTTTTTTCTCTTTCTGTAAGCCATTGTCTCTGTCCGTCTATCCATCAAACCATCTATCCTTCAGTGGAATGAGAGACTATTCCAGTCATTAGGCCACTGTTGGAATTCTTTTTTTAAATTCATTCAACTTAGGTTATTTGAGTACTTAATATTTGCTTTATATAGAGAAATCCTTCACAGCCCACATTGCTTTCATTTGTATCTCATTAATAGAGGCATCCCTTAGGATGGATTTTTATTTTCTTAAAAATAGCCAAAAATTGTTTAGATATAGAGCAGTTACGTTGTTATGCAAAGTGAGGTGGTTCCTTTTTTTTTTTTTTTTTTAAGTTAGAAATTGAAGTATAAAAGTTATTTTCTTACAGATCATAAAATGACCTCTGTGTTACTTTTTGGTCGCTTATCAGCTATGGTTTTCAAGGATTTGCCCACCTTTCTTGATGGCTTATCACCTCTCTCATTTGTTATTTCCCCCTTATTAGCCTGACCTCAGGTACTTGTACTTCTTCAGTGCCAGTGCTTCACATCAACCGTTAAGTTATTGTAGCCCCCCCCTTTTAAAAAAATTTTTTATTGTGTACAGTCCATCATTAGTTTTTGATGTACTGTTCCATGATACATTGTTTCTGTGTAACACCCAGTGCTCCATGCAATACATGCCCTCCTTAACACCCATCATTATACCCCCTTTCTTATACCACAGTACCACTTTTAATCTCATCATACATACTTTCATTTCTTTTCAATTCCCATTACCCTGTACGGGTAACTCCCTTTTGCGTTTTTAGGACTTTGACTCCTTTTTCCAGACCAGTAGCACCTATTTCACTTTATAGTCAACCTCACTCTCAGAGTCATCTGTTTTGGTTGCTGCTTTGTTTTTGTTCTAGAACCCTTTACAATTTTAGTCATGCTCACTTGGCATAAAACCCAACATGAGACTGGAACATCTTCCTCTGCTGAAGTTTATGCTCAGTTCTAGACTACTCAACCGGTGTTTGATTCAATCACCTCTGACTTTGTGGTTTTTAACTTTGACTGGTCTTATCTTTTTATTTTAAAATACTTCTTTCTTTATTTTTTAATTTTTAATGCTTTTGTAGGGTTTTTAAAATTTTTATTATAGTCAGTTAGCCAACATAAAGTACATCATTCGTTTTTGATGTAGTATTTTATCTACAGTGTTTATTTAAACTTCTCTCCAGTTCTCTGGAGATTTTATTGTAGTCTCTTAGCTGTTAACCTGGCCTCCTAGGAAGTACTCAGTTGGAAGTCATCCTTTTAAATAATCTTTAAAACGTCAAATGTTTTTCTTGTTATTTTTATTCTAGACATTGATCTCAGAAGTCAAATATGTTCCACTTCTCCAAAGCTAACCCTGTCCGTGGTCTCCTCTAGTTCTTACACAATCTTATTCAGTTAACTTGCAACTTCAATTCTTCTCTCTCCCAGATTCCTTCTACTTACAAACATTTTCAGGTAATTTTTTTAAGACAAGGGAAATTTATCCCTACTGTCTACTGTCCTTATTTTTTGTCTTCCTTTTACCATGAGTATTTGTAATGGGGCACCTGGGTGGCTAGCTTGGTCAAGTGTCTGATTCTTAATGTCAGCTTAGGACTCAGTCTCAGGACCTCAGCCTGAGTTTAGCGCTGTGTTAGGCTCTACGCTAGGCATGGAGCCTACTTAAAAAAAAAAAAAAAAAAAAAAAAAGGTGTTTACTAGCTTATTTGTGATTCATTTCTCTCTACCTTTTGAATATCATCCCCATCTACCCATTAACAGTGCTCCTTTAAAGATTATTTATCACCATGTTTATTCACTTTTTTTTTGCTCTTACTACTCCCATGACTTCTTTAGAGTATTTGAAGTTGTCCTCACTCACTTGTGAAAGTCTCCTCTTCAGCTTCTATTAAACTGTTACCACTATCTTTTTTCTTCCTTTTTGGCTACTCTTGTTTCTTTGCCTTTTCTTCCTTTAACTCATCTTGCTTCTTTACATTTCCTTTTTTTTTTTTTTTTGGTAACTCAACTACTGTCACTTTTACCTTTCAACTTTAAGTCTTCCAATTTTAATCCTTAGTCTTTATGAGATCCAACTCTATATTTCTAATTACTTTATATGTATTTTTACTTTTGACTCACTAGATTCTAAAAAGAACACAGATGAGCCAAACATTATCATCTATCCAGAATTCACACAATGACCACCCAGATACTCTTTCAGGGCATCATTTCTGTGAATGTGGAACACCTGCTGGAAATAGTTTACTATCCCAAGTTTCTTAAGCCCATGAAGTTCTCTTGATCAGTCACTGTGCATTATGGTTTTCTGAGACTCCCCTTTGTGCCGTCTGCTACTCTCCTTCACTACTATTGCAGTGGTCTACACCTATATTTCATTCCTCTAAACCAGGCCCCAGGCATCCTTTCCCCCAATATACTGCTGTGTGGAATGTTTCTTCATTCTGTGACAAATACATGGTTGCCTGCATGAGGCTTTAATTCTGCCCTTAATTTGTAGGGGGTCAAATTGGAAAATGTTTTCTGTTTTATTAAAGCAAGGGTCATTTCACCTTTCCCTCTCCCATTTATCATAGGCTTCCCACCTGTCCTACAGAACCTTCAAATCCATTTTATTCCAGAACATTGCCAATTAGCCCACCTCCCTCCATATCCTTTTTCCAATTCCCAGTGAGCCACAACCCTGATCTTTGTTGACTTCACACACTGAGCTCTTACTCATTGTTAGCCTCTTAGGAACTGAAAGCTTCCATTGCCATTCTTAGGGTTTGGTAGGTCTCTTTTCCTTTTTATCTGCTGGTACACTTGCCTCCTTCACTGTCTTAGGTATTGTCCATTGATTGGCCACGATTATCTCTGCCCAGTATGGATTCATATTATAGGTTGAGTTCTGTATGTATAGGAGCTTCATTTTCTCTTAAGGATGAGTACCTTTAATCTCTATCCTATACCATCTCTGTACTCTCAGTTGGTCTCTTTCCCTCTGGTCTTTTTTTTTTTTTTTTTTTTTTTTTGCCCCATCCCCATAAACTGACTACTCTTCCCCAGAATAAAGTTTATTGCATAACTCATTTTTTAAAAAGATTTCATTTATTTATTTGACAGACAGAGATCACAAGTAGGCAGAGGCAGGCAGAGAGGAGGAAGCAGGCTCCCCACTTTTTTGGAGTGTCTGATCACCATAGCCACTCACAAAGATTATTTTTCACTTTGAGCTGTGTATGATTCACTTATTTTGCCTTTTATTATATTTGTTTGTGTCTGTATTATTTCCTTGAGAAGAAGGGGCTATTTGTATTTTCCATGTCACCTAGCAAATTACAAATAGCAAGTCATTATTTGTAATTTTAAAGGGCTCTAAATAAAATCTTGAAAGAGGGTATTAAAAAATCTTGATGCATTGGAACCTTTTTGGAATAAGACTTGAAGAAGAGCATTATTAAACATGTAATTTTAAGTGATTTTTTTTTTAAAGTAGTATTATTTGGATTTGGTTGTTTAAATTACTGCATCTTATTTGCTTACAGCCTTCAGGTGGCAATAGAAGTCACCTGGAAAAAATGGAAACAAATTACCATATAATATTGTTGTTATTCCTCAATATGATGTATAAGAAAGGCTTTTCCTACATGTAATAGAATTAATTTAACAGACATAAGTATTTAATATCTCTTTTTCTAACAGCATTTACTGTTTGCTAAGTAAGAAGTATGGCAAGCTGGTGGTGAAGAATCAGACAAATCTGGATTTGAATCCAAGCTTCACCACTTATTTATTACCTCTGTGACTTTGGGCAAGTTACTTAACCTGACTCCCAGTTTCCTTTTCTCAAAAAGAAAGTCATTGTGATAATTACAAAATGTACTTAAAGTGCTTAACAAAATGATTTTTACTTAGGAGATACTCGAATAATTATAGCTGTTATCATTTCTAGGTTGTCATTATTATGTATTGTGGATAAAGTACTTGCTTCTAATTTTCACAATTTAGTAGGAGAGATGATATTTACCTAGCTTAAGATAGTAAACAAATGACTATGAGAGCACAGAGAAAGTAAGAATGAGTTCTTTTTTTTTTTTTTTTTAAAGATTTTATTTATTTATTTGACAGAGAGAGATCACAAGCAGGCAGAGAGGCAGGTAGAGAGAGAGGAGGAAGCAGGCTCCCTGCTGAGCAGAGAGCCCGATGCGGGGCTCGATCCCAGGACCCTGAGATCATGACCTGAGCCTTCGGCTCAGGT